TTCATCAGCCACAACTTACCACTCCATACTCCACTGCAGCTCACTTATTCTGGTCAACTAGTAAAGGTATCAAGGTCCTGCTTCCTTGGGGAAGGAGTTAAAGAGCGGCACAGGTCAGTTACTTACACACTCATATATATTTAAGGTCTGTGTAAAACCCAGCTTGGTCCAGAAGAAGCATTTCTATTTCTATACCTCACAAAAACCATAGCAGTAAGTTTGGCCCATAGTAAAAACTAACTGCACTTTGGCAAAGCTAGCATGCAATCTAAAGTATTACAAACTACTCCAGAAAAAACAGACATGAAAAGTTGTTCAAAGTAGTGCCTGATGCTTACAAAGCATCAGGAGCATGAATCAGTACTAATACCAAGCTATTTCTGATCATCCATAGCAAGAATGTTGACTAGATGTGGATGATACCCTTCAGATATATATATTTCCCTCATGTTTACTATCTTTTAAATAGCCCACAGCTCTTCAGCTGAATTTCTAAGATGTTTTTAATAGCAAACACAATAGACTACATGTAATAAATCTTGTGGCTTTTTCATAGCAGAGAAGACAAAGTGTGAGCCTGGAACTACAAAATGACCATGTACCACAATAGGTAAGACAAAGCATATCCTGTGATTTATTTTTTTTTTTAAACTTTTCATCAGATGACAATGAATCTTTATCACAGCGAAGTCCTATGAAGATAAAGATGTTGCACTCTTCAGCTGGCACTTCACCCTTCAGGCGGAATTCCATAGGGACAAATCCCGAACCTTTTTAAATACACAAACTGTCCCAGACTTATTTCTTGTCATGTCTCATAAGCAGTGAAAGGGATTGTGGAGAGCGATCTTCTCACTCCCACTACACAAAGATTACTTTCAAGGCCTATAAACAGAACTTGATTATAGGATAAACTTGACATATCGTTCAAAATCAAAGAATGATTTCCTCCATTAAAATTATCAAAAGCCTCTAAGGTTGGTATAGTTATTACACACAACGTGGTATTTTTCATCAGTGGAAAGACACTGACAGTTCCCACTCATAGCCTCAGGATTTTCTTCATAGTAATAAACGGGAACACCTGCACCTGGTCTTTCTATTACTGGCTATCTGTATGCATTCCGAACCCTTTAAAATCTGCTTTCCAGTAACATTTAACATCTTCAGGGAAATAAATGAGACCAATCCTATACACTGAAAAAACGTAGTAGAATCCTTTGTTTTCTTCTTCAGTACACACAACTTCTTCATCGTTTGTAGACATGTATTGGGTTTCGGTGGCAAGGTTTTGGTAGCGGGGGGCTGCAGGGGTGGCTTCTGTGAGAAGCTGCTAGAAGCTTCCCCCATGTCCGACAGAGCCAATGCCAGCCGGCTCTGAGATGGACCCGCCACTGGCCAAGGCCGAGCCCATGAGCGACGGTGGTAGTGCCTCTGGGAGAACAGATTTAAGAAGGGGGAAAAGTTATTGTGCAACAGCAATTGCAGCTGGAGAGGAGAGAGAGTATGCGAGAGAAACAACTCTGCCAACACCAAGGTCAGTGAAGAGGGAGGGGGAAAATGTGAGGAGGAAGGAGCGGCAGAGACAATGTGCGATGAACTGACCCCAACCCCACTGCCCGTCCCCCTGCGCTTTTGTGGGGGGTGGGGGGGGGAACGTAGAGAAAATCAGGAGTGAAGTTAAGCCTGGGGAGAAGGGAGGGGTGGAGGGAAGGTGTTTTAAGATTTGGGTTTATTTCTCATTACCGTACTCTGATTTGATTGACAATAAATTAAATTAATTCCCTAAGTTGAGTCTGTTTTGCCCATGACGGTAATTGCTGAGTGTCCTGTCCTTATCTTGATCTACAAGCCTTTCATTGTATTCTTCTCTCCCCAGCTGAGGAGGGGGAGTGACAGAGCAGCTTTGGTGGGCACCTGGTGCTGAACTAATTTTAACCTGACAAAGCTTTCTGCAAAGAACAATAAGCCTTCCCCACACTCCCACCAAGGCTTCTGAACCAGCTGTAAAATGGGGGGGGAAGCATTCAACTAATTGTATCACATAAAAAAGCAGGTTTGTTTTCATGCAAACAAGTTCTTGTAATTTTGGTTTTGAGCAAGTGCCTGGGAGCTTTGTATCGTGTGCTAAACGTCGAGATCAAACAACAGCAAGTAGGTAGTACAATGCTATAACATGTAATACTGACAGGAGGGGGAAATGCCTGTTGGGGAAGGTATTCACAAAGGTTAACATTAGCCCCTGCAGGCTAATGCGTCAATGGCTTTCTCTAATCAGTAAAGAGAGAAAGGCTCCTCTAGAGGGCGATTCAGAACTGAAGATTCATTTAGCTACTCTGAATCTCTCTCCGGAGGAACCTCACTTCCATTAACTTCAGAAACAGCCTGCAGAGATTAGCCTCAAAAAGATCACGCTAGCCTTTGTGAATACTCCCCAGTATTTACCTGCCATCAGTAGGAACAGTGGCTGAAATTCACTACTGAGATATATAGTTGGGTATACTGTATTCAATCTGAACACTATGTATTGTACATGGACTGAATTTTACCCAGCTGGAGCTTAGCTCTCCTGCCAGAATCACTGAAACAGCCTCCACAGCGCTACTAGCATGACCGCAGGATTTAGCTTTTTCCACTGCCCCATTAAAGTGCTCCGTTTGACAGCCACCTGCATCCTGCCATGCAAACGCCTGCTGTGCCCCCAACACCTTCAGAATCCACCAACATTCTGCAGTCATACTGACGCAGCTCCTCTCGCTTCCACTGCTCATTGTATCACTGGAGCAGCAGTGGGAGCTGGGTTTTCACCATCAACCTAAATACAAAGAAGAAAAATTCTCAACTTCTGAGACCTGCTGTCAACAATTTTTATGGCTATTATTTAGTAGCAACAAGAGAGGAAAATGGTCTTTTAATCTCAAACACAGAATGAAGTTGGATTTTATCAGGGCCATTTCCTAACTCTTCCGGTTCTTCTATATTTCATTAGATCATTGTGCTTCCCTCCCTGAAAAATTTCCATGATATCTTCAAATTCTATCAAATAATAGATTTGAGAAAAATAAGACTGCTATAATATTGTATAAACCAAAAGAATGATTACAGCTCTTTAAAAGTTTTGGTGGGACTTTTTACATTTATGATTCTACCAAAATTTCTCTTCACAGAATATCTTTGTAACGTAAGTCCGTCATCCTCTTACAAACGTGAAATACAGCAAAAAAAGGCCCTTTAAATTGACTTCAGCAAAGGTGTGACAATGTTTATCACAAACAACAGAAGTCTTTCATTTAACACCAGTTGTGTTATAGCCAGAGCCAAAGACAATACAAACTCCAGGTAGAGTTGATTTCCAAAGTTTGCCTTAAAAGTATGGTTAGACAAACCAGTACAAGTCTGGGAGTACAGCACTTTTCACAATCTTATGACAACTCCCAAGCCCTAGGAATTTTGGTTCTAAACTGAAATTTTTCCCATACAACCATGTCAAACATGACTTAGACATAACAAAATGAACTCGCAAACATTAAATGAACTTGCAAACACCTGCTAAGTACATTTTACCACTGAAATCAAGCCTCTTTACCAAACAGAAAAGTTATGTTCAGATTTTAGAGACCATATTGAGACAAAGCTGTAATGAACACAGAAAGTACTACAAAGACCAGTTATTGTTCCAAATGAACAAATCCTCTGCATGTTACATAAACTACTTGCAATGCAGTATGTCAAACAGATACTTTATGTTGTGTTATTACCCAAGTAACAGTGTAAGACATGTTACCCACCATCTGTAGCTATTTTTACATAACTGTCCTTCACATAAGCATCAGAGCATCTTAGTTTCAAAATGCATTTAACCATGATGGCTTTTCGAAAACTATATTGCACCTTTAGACAGGAAAAAAAACCCCCAAAGTTCCTGTTTTTTATATTCCAGTATCAGGTGGTTTTTCAGGTATTCAATCAAGAGATTTGCAGACAAAAATTACAAGCAATTAATTTTGTTCATCCTAATTATATTGTGGCATTAGATTAATAGAAACTATGCACTCTGCCCTTCAGTGTTCTGTAGAATTCTGCATAATAATCTTTTGGCTTGAAATGAATCTCAAAGCATGTTGATTAGAAGGTTAAAGGGCAGAGTTTTTAATTATTGTCAAACTCTGCTTAAGAATATGAGACATGAACAAAGTTTGTACTTTTTTCATATAATTGTTTATTAAAATAAAGGAAAATCCAGAATTTTACAATTCATCTTGGAAAATGTTCATAGTCAAATATCACTTTCAGAAGAGTTTTCCCCTATATACTCAACATACACCCACTCAGAAGGGCATTTTATTCTTCTGCACTATCTGACATATTATCTGAACATCTTTGTAAAGCACAATTATTGCACAGGACAGTTGTATTTGTGACAATACTCATTTAACCAAGCACTACATTGCCCATTGTTCTTTCTTTTAAACTCAGTAGGACAGAAAAAAACACAACGGGGTAAGATTTGGCAAAATATATTAAAGCACAAAGTAGATTACCAGTTCAAGAAAAGCAGGAATTTTCCCAATTAAAATATACAACTGATAGTTTATTCCTGGCAATTTATAAACAAGAAGCATATAATCTGAACACAAACATTTCAGTGAATTCTATGCTGTTTCCCATGTAACACACAGTAACAAAACAAGACTTTTAGAAAAAAACCCAGTATTAGTTTACTGAAAAAGGAATGACATATTGGACCAGTACCTACACATTCCCAAATCACGGTGCAATCCTCAGCTGATGGCACTTCATGTGAGGAGATTAGGTCTCATAAATTTTCTGAAACTGCATTTAATTTAACTTCACAATATGTCAAATGAAGTTTTAACACATAGAAACCTCTGTTTTCTCCTTTATCTAAAATATCTGCAGCAATTAAATCTTACAATTACTTTGGAACATTGGCAGTTATTTACTTATTTGAGTAACAAACCCCTGAAATTTCCCTTCTATTTCAGCTTAATACTTGAACCATGTGAAAACTGTTCCTCTAAACATGAAAGTAAGTTTAGAAAAAAACAAAAGGAAAAAAAAAGTTTTAGCACTCACTAGCAACAATTTCTTTGTAGCAAAATCATAACGCAGTTCCCTCTTCCACAAAGTGGGCTCAATAATATCCAATATTTTAAATATCTATTGATCATGCCTGTGTTTACCTTTGTGGTGTCAGTAACACCTATAGAGGAGTCCATTTTTCTTTCAGGAACATAACAAGCCATCAGCCCATTCTTCTACTAGTCAGGGAAGAATCAGTGCATGAGTTAAAATATTTTAACAAGAAATGAAACCTTATCTCTGTTTTTAAAAAAAACAACAACGAAAAACCAAACCCTGGGAAGTAATTTTTGCTAGCTTTAAAAAAGGCCAATTCATTAGCTGCATTTTCGGGGTTCCAAAATAAATAGACCTTTGCTGCATGGCAATGTCACTTATTGCAAAGCTTTCAGGAGATATTAAGAACTCCCAACTCGATCTCTGGGAATAATCCGTAGATCTGAACCATGCTTTAGAAATACATTTCCTAAACAAACAAACAAAACAGAATGTGTTACCAACCAACCAAAAAAAACATTACCTAAGCAAGCATACACATTTAAAGGATAATAATACATTAGGTCAGTGTTTAACATCTTTGTAGTAATTCCTCTAATATACCAGAAATATACTTTTTATGTTACCATGGAATTTCACCTTATCCCTTTTACTACAAAGAACTCTTTATTTTTAAATAAAAGTGCCAGACACAAAGTCATCCAATAAGACTTCCAAGCTATGGCCTTTCAAACTTTGCAGTTCCATACTTGAATGTCTGATTTCACTTATACACTATAATAATTTCAAGACCAGGAAATGAAGTTTTACTTCTCCATAATTATTTTTTTTAACTTGAGGTCATTCGTGCACATTTTTAATTCTCTCCTTGGTTCAGTACTTATCTGCTTCTAACTTCAGAACCTCAACTGTACTTTTCTTTTAGGAAGGCTCTCCACATATCCAAGCATAAGTCAGTCTCATTTTAGCATAAAAAAAAAAATCTTGAACTTCATATTTATTACCATATAGTCTTAATCATGACAGTCTTTTCAAGAGGACATAGTATGAAAATTAGAAGTTTCTTATACTTAGATGTCTAGAATATTTCCTGCATGTATTCAGGATTGTCATTCAGGTTGCTATTTTCTTCTATTAAATGTAACATTTGAAAATGAAAACACATTGCTAAAAGTGATGCATTATTTAATTACTGTATGGAACTTTTTTTTTACTTCACACTGCTACTGCACAAAACAGACTATATGTAATTCTACAATATCAGGTTTTAATAATATCTGCCTATTCTTATTCATCTTTGCTTTGACTTGTAAAAACAGAATAATTGTATTTCTCTCCCAAGCACCCCATTTCAGGGAGGTAGAACGCTCTCATAAAAAAGATGAAGATATTTAACATTTGTTCAAGTTATTAGCATATTGGAACAAAGCTACCCTTTTTCAAACTTCACTTTTCCAGCACGTGGATCAGGATCAAAACTGTTCTACTTACTCAATGTAAAGAGTATTAGAAAAACAGTTCAAAGGAATGTGTTACCAGAAGATGTTCTGTTTTTAGAGATCTGCCAAGACCACATACTGAAGAGATCTATAAAACCCACTGAACACAAATCTGTCACACCAGCAAACCAGAGAACTAAGCTTACTAATCTAGATGAAAAGTACCTGTATTGCAATAGCCATCATAAAACTCTAAAATTTTAAAACAAGCCACAGCTGCATCTCACACAGACAGCAGTTCACCCCACCTCTCAGTCTGTTTCCATCATTAATATCACAGCAGTTTTATTAAAGTTATGGCATACTATTCCCTGAACTATCAAGGATTTAAAATTGAAATCAATACAGGAATTAAGCGTTAAGCCTAGCTTTTTCAGCTTTCATTTCCGCTGCTCCATGGAACCAGGTAGGGAGCATGAGAGGAAGTCATACTTGAGGAGTACTTTTATTCAGAAAGGTAGGGAAATAGTAGAACAGTGCAAAACCTCTGAAATCCCCAAGGATTACTAAAATTTTATTCCTAGATCATCTTATTTTGGGAAGTTTCTGAAGACTAAAGTAATTTCAATCTACAAGAACTTTAATATATGTAAAAAAAAAAAAAAAGAGTGCATTTTACCCTAACAGATTTTTGAGATATCAATGAATAAGGCTGAACACAATGTTATATCTAAATTATATATGTTTACTTGTAAACTGAGGAGGGATTTTGGTCTGGGTCTTGGGTTTCGCATAGGTCCTTTTTTGGTTGCTCTTTTTGGGGGTGGGGGTGGGGGTTGGGGGTTTGTTTTTTCTTTTTTTCCCCCCACAGTTTAAGGCCAACATCACACAGCACTGTTACGGCAATGGTACCTTCTATGTTAAAAAGAATAATCCATGTACAATCCATGTGCCTAATCTTTCATTTGCAGATAGGACTAAGATTGTGATGACAACATTTTGCATCTAGATGCTTTTGATTTGCCTGATGCTTGATTATGAGATGCTGTCATACACTACTACTGAATAATTCCTCAACATTTCTAAGAACTTAGGAGAGGTAACACAAATCAATTGGAGCTGTGAATTCAATATGAATAGCTGCAAGCATGATGAACTACCACATGGATGTTTTCATTCAGGAGTCCAGTAGTCCTAAATACATTTACTTTGCAGGATTAAGCTACAACTAATTTGAGCTACATAATATAAAATGAAAGTATACTTTTGAGGAAGAGAAACAGCATAAGTATACCTTTAGCTTAAGCAACTGACTTTACCTATTTTGCCTAAGTATTCTTGAGTGGTCATATGAAAATGTGGCTTTACATGTGGGTGATGATCTAGTAGATAAACCAAACTCTTAGTTTTATTATCTGTTTTTAATACACTTGGTCATGAGATCACGATGAGGACAGCATCGGGAGGAATCTGCCTGAGGCAGTACACCTGTCAAACTATAATCCAGGTGTCCTAAAGCAAGCCCCAGAACAACAGAAACCTCCAGTGGAGCATAAAGCCAGACACTCACTTGATCTTCATTTTCAAATGTTGTTGATGCAATCACAGACCTCAGAAATGGGTCGCTACACTTAAATGGTTCCTTTTACAACTCCAAGACATTCCCCAAACTAACGTCAAGCAACTGCTCTTCTAACTATCAGAAACTATTACATGCTCTGCAAGGATTTACTTCATACTATTTATCTTACGTAGCTAAGTATGCTGATAATACCTTGCTTTCTTATTGTCTCTTTAGATCTGAAAAAAAAATAACCTGGTGTGGTATCTTCAATAATGACTGGCAAACAGAGGGCACAAATGAATGAGACATAGCAGAGATTTCATGCAAAAAACCAGAGAAGTGGCAAGTCTCCATCAACTGTTAATCACGTTTGCAAGCAGGAGTAAAATTAGATTCACAGTTTTCACTGGATGACTGGGTTCCACAAGCACCAAAGCCATTTTTATTATTTCTTAGTAGAAAGTTATCAACATTTCTTCCCTAACAAGATACTTCACTCTAACTCTCGTCTCAAATGGGTCGAGATTAGATAACTGTAATAATTTCCAGATTAATTTAATAGTATAGCTTTTCAAGAACAAGTCCACAGAAGCCTGCTTCCAGACAACAGACCATTATTAGTACAATTCAACATCTGTACTACATTTCCATGTATTTCAGGAGGTCATGGGGAAAAGCTTTACACTTTTCTGTGACAGAGATAAATTCTTGTCTCATAGCAAGCCTCCACAGTTGAAATCAGAGATTTCTCACATGGAATCCCTTGGTGAGAACAAGAGGGCTATTGGCAACCAGATCCTCTCTTCTTGAAACCTTGTTCTCCAAAGCACCTAGAGTTCCTGCTCTAAAACTGTGTATTATTTTTTAAACATATCTCATGAGAAGTGCTGCTAAAATTGCAAATACTACTGAACTAGGTAAAGTGGGGAAAAATATAGCTATAATTATAATGCTTCTCCCATTTAAGAAATGAAAACTTAAAATATAAATTAACCCTGAGTGCTATGCATTAGTTTAAAAGAAAAGTTTTTAATACTGGGCTTCATAAATAATAACTTACCTGCTGTCTGTGCAGGGTTTATTCCTATACCATCTAGGAAAAAAAAAATTTTAAAAAGAAGATTAAAAAAGAAAGAAGAGAAAAAAGAGGGGAAGATGAAACAGACATATTGCAATTTACTACACTAAACTTACAGCTCAAAAAATGTAATATACCAACAAGATATAATTATTACATCAGGTCTTCATGCAGCTGTTTCCTGTAACCAAAAATAGTCTTATCACAGGAGCTAACAAGAAACTTTCAGCACAGAAAATCCGAGCTACCTATCTGGACAAAACCAAATGAATAATATTAGTGGTTTAATACCATCATCCCATGCATAACTAACTTAAATAATGCTACAATTTTATTAAATCCAGTTTGCTGTCTGTAGAGGTTGTGAAAGAAAAAACTTTTGCTTTTATCAATACCTCTTCACTGAAACTACAATACAAAAACTATTAAAAAATTATATAAACTATATTCTTACCATTTGTTATAATGGCACTTGTTGCTGCAGGAACTTTGAACTAAAGGAAATAAAAGTAGGAGAATATAACATAAGAGATACAGTTAAAGCAGAAAATATATGGGGAAAATTCATAGCAATTACAATTTTAGCTGGTTCAGGTACAAAAAAATTGTCAGAAAAGAGAGCAAAATAAAGGTTTAAAGTCAAAGTTGATTAGACACCTCAATACAGAATGCAAAATTTGCAGTACTAAACAACTAAATAAATCCAATTATTATTACTCATTGGATAAAACCTAAAAGTTAAGCATCCACAAAGTTAAGAAATACTACTTATTATACTAAATAAAGGAATACCTAAAACATGTATGGAAAGAAGCTTCTAAGAAGCATACCTGTTACATCTAACAGGAGCTAAACAAGAATTAGCTTGAGGTAATCTTGGTTAATTTTGACCCATTTTCTAGGTTTCTCTCTGGCTACATCGAGAGCTCTCCAACTGCACTACTCCAAGCGAAGAGCTCACTCCAGGATTTGGTTATGCAAAGAAGCACTAACAGCACTGCATCAGATCTGGCTCCCTCCTCAGATTTCTGACACCAGCCTAAGCAGGCTTTGCACCCTCAATCACCCCCACGTGTCTCCTCGGTACCCCACCTCCACGCGCATCATACGTGGTCAGTTTTACAATACAAGAAGCCCTACTCAGGTGGGGCTGCACTGCATATAGGCTTCAAATGATTTCAGAAGAGCTGAACTGAGATGGGGAAGCCAAAAATAATTACTTCTCAGGACTAGAGGGAACCAGGCAGGGCCAGAGAAAAATCCTGCACTATGTAATGTGGTTGGACCACAGAGGACAGAAAGGGTAGGGTGAGTACAAGTCAGGCAGTGTTACTTGGTTGGTCTTAAGACAAAAGATTGCTCCTTGGACTTCCTTTACTTAGCACAATCAACAACCCATAAGGCAGAAGACTGGTGCCTCTGCAATTAGCAAGTATCAGTGAAACCTCCTCTCGAAGCACTTCATTCTCCTCTCTATATTGCGTAAGAGAAAGGGCAGATAACTATGAATGCTAACACCAAGTGCTTCCCTGCAAGAACTGCAGAGCTCTCCCATCTTCTGAACAAGTCATTTCAGCCATGCCTTTCAATGGCATTCACTAGTTGTGCTTTCTTCATTTTCTGATTGCTCAACTCAAGATTTTTTAGGTCTAATTTGCAGAAGCTCTATGCACTAGCTAAAGCTCACAGAAACCATGCCTAAATACAGTACTTAATTATTAGTATACTGAAAACACTGCCCTATTTATCTCCAGACACACAAAATTAGCAGGTTTTTTTTTTTTACTTGATCTCTCTTAGCTTTTTATCCACAGCAGGTAAATCATGCCACCTCCTCATCTTGCAGGGTGACACAAAAATGGTCATTTTCACACAAAATTAGATACCAGTGTCACTGCAGAAAGGTCATGAAGAAAGTAACAACTTGTCTTCAGATTTGAATAACAAAGTTGATAAAATAAAAGCTACATATTTCACAGTAAGAATGTAAAAAATAATATGCCATCATAATAGCTTATGCATATATATCATATGCTGAAGAAAGCAAGCCTTCATTCCCAAGTTCACTAACTTTGGGAACATTGACTTAGCACTCTGAGGAGAAATCTTTTAACAGGTTTGGTTTTTTTTTTTTTTAGGGAGGTTGTGGGTTGGTGTTCTTTTTTCATAATAGGAGAAAATGAGTTTATTATAAAGTTTGAACAGTGGGCTATTGTTAATGTCAATCATTTTAAGTCCTGCCTCCTGGAATGAGTCCACCTCCAATTAAAAAAGTAAAAGAATAAAACACAAAAAACCCATGAACAAGTGGCAAATATATGCTTAACTTAATACTTCAGTTATTTTTCAACAAGCAGGTTTCCATTGTAACTGATACCATGGACCTTTCATCCTAAATCATTTTAAACCCCCCCAAAGTAATTTCTAGAATATTGAGTGCCTTTCTTCCCTATCTCTTCTGATACACAACAAAACATGGAAGGGATGCATCATTCACAGAAGGATGGACGTCTCTACTTATTTTATGCCATTTTGCTTTTCCGTAGGAGTATCTATCAGATCCCAATACACTAGGTGCACATGAGAACTGTGTGGCAATCAGTCAGTGAAGCACTAGTTAAGATTCTCTTCTTACTTCATATTGTATTGTGTTAGAAGAGAATAAAACACTTTTGTTATCTTAGCCCAAAATACTCGGCCAAACAGCAATAGTTCTCAGCTATATACTCAGCACGTAAAAATCATCACAAGTATAATACAGAAAGAGAAACTACCTTTGGAAATGATTACACGTATTTTGGTGCAATATGGTTCACTACTTAAAAATCCTTCCTGTGATTGCTAAGCATATGTTTCCCATGCTGAAAACATACAAGCTTTCTGTGATGCAAAGTCAAATGGTTACTCAAGTAGCAAAGAAGTTCTGTATTCAGCAGATCATCCCTGGCTTTCTTTGAAACCAAATTGGGTAACATCCAGCCCCAAACTCACACACTTTAAACAAAGAGATTGTTTGCTTTAAAAACCTATGAATTGATAACTGAGGCTGCCACACAACTTATTTTCCCCAATACTAGGAAATACATTTATCAATATCTACAGTCAAATTATAAGGAAAAGATACAATCACATACCAACAATTATATTCCTTTCACACTTTTTACAATGATGATAAAAATCCTCTACAGCAATAAGCTCATCTCATTTTAGTGCAAAGAATAGCAGATAAGTGCATTAACCCATAGTATTTTAGCACCAATCTATCAAGAGTAACGTTAGAAAAACAAAATAGTTTCAAAAATATACATTTATGAAAGAATAGTTTATTTAATAGAAATGGATGACTATTTTAGTAGTAATTCCACAAATGTGAGGGTTTTTGTAAGTACTGTGCAAATGTACACATGAGGTACGTACTAAGTAGCTGTATCAGATAAAGGAAAAAACCAATAGATAGCACACATTGTAAGTGAGACCATTAACACTATCCCAATAAAGTGTGACAATTGTGGGAAGAACTACAAATAGGTAAAAACGGAAGATGGTAGTGTTTCCAATACCCTACATTTCAATTTGTAGTTTTATAGAGAGTCTGCAAGCCAAACAGAGAACTAAAAAAAAAGGAAAGAGTTAAATTTGCATTATCCAAATTATCACTGCCAAATGTATATATTGGGAAGGCCTGAGACTGCTACAAATAATTGAGACTTCTGAGACCTCGCCATTTAATGGTCCAATTTTCTTTCACTTCCAGCTCTGCCTATCATGAGTTGTGTACAATGAACTTTCACATGTTACATGATGTGCTAGAGATGACAGAAAAAAAATCTGTTATGTATTTCAGTTATTTCCAATTAAAAAAAAAAAAAAAGAAGGAACACATCTTGTTTTGTGCAGTGCAAGTAGTTCAGAAAACTTTACTTGGAAAAACTGTTAACCTTTGACAAAGCACTGTGACTGAAACTTGATACACAAGACAACCATTCTACAGTATGGCTACAGTTTTACTATTCCAAAGGAATTCTGGTCATGATTTGGTCAAACTTTAAGACTCTGAGGAAAAAAAACCCACAACCCAAACCTCAGTAGGAACTTGCCAAGGCTAAACAGCCAAAACTTAAATCCTTCTCTGTCCCAAGAGCTTTAATCACCAAGGAGATAATGCACTTCCCCTGGAGACCAACTAACATCTTTGTCCAAAACCCAGGGCTACAGGTTGATCTTTTCCTTACATGTTCTGTATAAGGTACTGTGAAACTGGTATCTGAATCATGATACACAGCACAGTTAATGTTAAGCTATGCTGTTCAAGGAACAAAAAACATTTACATAAGACAAAAATTCTCTCTCCTTTTCAATGCTAGTTCACCAAGGATCACAATGGCTTCATTCCTGGGGAAGAGTCTAAGTCTTTTTTGTTCTCTGTTTACAAAGCATTTAGTTCTGCCTGGTCTCACAGAGATGTAAAAAGCTTTAGTAACACATCAGCAGACAACTAAAATCAGTGCCATATTCTGAAAAATCAATCATATGTTCATGTTATTAATTTCTATTTAACACTGACTCAGGCTAATACAAAAGTGTTTCACACTGGGGGGGGAGTTAATAAAGTGTTATTTGTATTTTCTTTAAAATAAAATTTATTGTATAGACATTTAATGGAATTACTCTAGTGACCATTAGCAACACTGGGCTTTTTTACCTTCCATCACACATTTTCAGTATTTCTTGTGAGCCTCCAAAAAACATCTACAATTGCTCTGCTGATCCAGAGTGGTGTGAGGTCAACCAGCAAAACTCCCATGGATGCTCAAAATACTCATATCAACTAAAAGAATGGTTTGTTCAATGTGAATATTTAAGTAATTAATTCTTCTTTAAATCCACTTTGCAGAGGACCCTATCACTAACTAACACTGTGGTTCCACGAGCAGGTAAAGCTAACAGGCTTGATGGCAACCCTCCCACCAGAAGTGGCCCCTCACTCCTTGTATCTCCAACTACTCAGTCCCACTCATTTTTGTGGTCCCTCATGCTAGCATCAATGGCATGAATCCAAATTAGAGAAATAACAGGCCTAAAGACTAATCCAGCAAGAGAAAAATAGCTTAGTTTGAACCCACACTCCCTCTCCAAGATGAACCTGTGGCAGTACATTTCAAATGGGTGACAGAAGGCACAGAAGCATCAACCAGGGTCAGTTTTGGAAGATACGACACCCCACACCAGTTTAAGCTGCTTGCAGATGGTGGTAGTAAAAGTGAGCCTGATAAAGACAATGAACTAAGTTCAACTGACTAATACAGCAAAGAAACTTCAAAAAAGACCCTTTGATTAACGATCCCATTTGAACAACTCAGCGTGCAACTCCATCAGACCTCGATCTGGCATTTGTCCGGTGACAGGAATCTGTAACAAGGACTGGAAGGGGAAAAGGACTGTTTCTTTTGGAAGCAGCCTACACCTACAGCACAAACAGCACTTCAGAGTTCTATTGGACTTTTCAGTCTAGGTCTCCAAGTATGGGTTGTGTGGGCACAGCTGCATTAGTTCAGATTAAAAATAATGGAAAAAAAACCACAGTAAAAAAAAAAGCAACTAAATCGGCAAATATCTTTATCATTCTGTATATTATTCTGCTCAAGTAAACTTATAACAAACAATCCACAACCTCCCCGCACAAGCTGTGTTTCCACTAAGAACTTCTGTCACATAGTGGTATAACACTAACAACATAAGGAGACTCAAGACATGGAATCCATTATCCTTCCTAATTATTTATTTTATTACAATTCCAATGCTTGAAAAAATGAAATTTTGTATAACCCAAAATTTCCCAAGTTGTCCTAAAAAGACAGAAGTGGAACTGCAAGAACAGACTCTCAGCTGAATCTGTTTGCTGACGAGATGAAAAAAGACATCATGCTTTTGAGTACTTTATTTTACTGTTTACACCCAGATGAACATATCTTAATCTCTGTACGCTTAATTTGAAACAAACAGGATGCATCTCTTCAAATACTTTATATAGGGAATTTAGGCACCTATTGGTTTTGGATTCCACATGAAAGGTCAAACACCCAGAAGCCAAAGAATGCATTATCAAAGTCTTACTCACTTAAGTCTGTTTTTCTGAATCTCCCATATAGCTAATCACAATACCTTCTGTAATAAAAAATCATATGTCCTCCAGTACCAGACATTACTGGAACTGAATGTGAGAAGACTTTCAGAATTTCCTGAATAATTCTAGATAATTTTCTGGATATTCTACATAAGCAATTTAAAATATTAAGTATTCAACAGCAGTATCTTTTAATTATGTTCACCATCATAATTTTTGTGTTATCGATATAAAATGGCTTAATTTAATCACAAAGAACAAGAAGTCTGTCAATACCTGCTGCTGACGTGTAAACTGTGCAAGAACAGCTAAGTTTCAGATTCTGAAAGTTTTGGCAGGCCCACACTGACATCAGTAAAGCTTGCATCCATGTGTATCTAACAAGAGCATTATTTCTGCTGAATTAACCATTTTATTTTACAATAAAAAAGCTTCTGCTTTCAGGAATGTTCAAAAAGTTAAAAACCAACGTCATCACTTCCTACTTACTTCTTCTGCAGCAAACTTCAAGACAGCTGTGAAAGGGGTACTTTCAGGCACGCTTAACCTGAAATTACAATGGAAGCAAGTACGTGACCGCTAAGACAAACTGAAAAGCGACTTTATTTGCTATTAAACTACTAGTTAAAACGTCACTTTCACCAGCACTAATATTCTTGCCAAAGGCGTGCCTGTGCTACTTAAGGTCTAGGTGAAAGCCTAAAAACATACGCGTGGCAGCAGAACGAAGCAGAAAAGCCCAGACGGGTGACTTCACAACAGAAAACCGCCTCTTCGAAAGCCCTGTCAGGATGACCATTAGAAGCCACGCGGCCCAGGCGCAGGTACAGCCTGCGGTGCCGCCCCTTTCCACGGCTCCCTCGCGTCACGCAGGGCCCCAGCCCGCCGCACCACTCACACTTTGTAGGGCAGCCGCGGGTCCGAGGTGAGCGTCACTTTAAAGGTGACCTTCGACCTGGGGAGAGCAAGGAGAAAGCACCAGGTTAGGGCTGGGGGCGCGGAGCCCCTCGCCCAGCCACCCACTCACTCACATGATGCTCCCGGCGCCGCCGCTCCTCACTCACACGTCAACCGCCGCCCGAGGGGGCCTTCGCCCCCCTCCCTTCCGCCTCCTGGGCTGCCCGCGGCGCGCCTGACGGCAAAGGGAAAAGAAAACCGTCCTGCCGGCTGCTACGGGGGAGGAAGCGGGGGCGTTCTGTCTTGGTACCCGTTACTGGAAAGGCGAGGGGAGAGGCTGAGGGGTGGACGAGGCGCGCCGGGGGATTTGTGAGGATTTCTAATCAGGCAGCCGCACTGGCTGCTCGCCGCGGCGGAGGGAGGACTGAGGCAGTGGGACCCCCGCCTTTCCGTAGGCGTCCTGAAGTGACGGCCGGGCGGCCCTAGCGGGAGCGGGGAGGTAGCGGGGCCGATTTCGGCCCGGCCCGGCCCGGCTGGGGGACGTAGCGGGCGGCGGCCTGCGCGCCTCGCAGCGGGCCGGCGGAGTCCGAGGTGCGGGGCCGTTGACCAAGGAAGAGTCCCCCTTCCTCTGAGCAACTAAGGGGCTGCTGGGTTTGCGTGTGTGCTCGTGTACGAGCGCAGGTGTACGTCTGTGTACGGATCCGCGTACCTGCGCGTACATATACGAGTGCAGACGTGTATGTGTCGGGCGGGAGAGCGGGGTGGTTGGCCGCCCGTCTGGTTCCCGGCGGTTTCCAGTCCCTGTGCCGCTCTCGAACCGAAAAGTGCCGCGGGAGTTGCGCAGGGGAAGGCGGATGCAAGTACACGGCGATTCCCGCCTTCGTAACATTCAAAATCGTTCACTTCTTCCTTGGGATGGGTGAGCTAGAGTTGGAGTCTTGTTTGGGTAGTGGTGGATACTCTTATGGCAGAAAACCAGCAGTTTTGTTCCCCTGGGACTTTTGACAAGCTAATTTAAAGGCTAAGTAAGGAAATGCAAAGTAATTTTTGTCTTTAATGCTTGTTCATCTGTTAGTACAGATGATGAGTGAGTTTCTGACTCTGGGTATGTCAGTATTGCCATTGTAGAAAATATTTTGCCAGACTGCTGTCATATTTTCTCTAGTCTCTACCGTCTGCGGGAAGGACAGCTTTCACTGTAGGCTGAGGTGCTTGTTATCACGCACTGCTTGCCGGACTGGTCATGGCAAAGCACTTTGTCGTGTTCATTTTAATTGGAGTCTCATTAGGGTTAAGGTAGAAGAAATGGCATGTAAAAGGCAACTGACACTTTGGAGTTACTGATTTCTTACCTAAGGACTGGCTCAGTGCCCAGCCATGAACTTCAGTTTTTCACCCTTGTGTTGCTCTTATTTGAACATAGACAAAACTAAAAAAAATTCAAAAAATAACAAAGAGAAGAAATTCACTAGCAGTTTGTACAATGGCATTAATATTTCCCTATATCTCCTGCTTTTATGTTATCGTGTCTGCCTTTCACAACTGTATCACATTGGTGGCTCATGTTCATTCTGTAATCCATTAGTGATATCATGGCTTTTTCATCCCCCTGCTTCTAAGAGATCACACCTTAAGTTAGAAATAATTAATAGTCATCTCTGAGCATGTCACCTTGCATTTTGTGTAGCTAAATGTCATCCCGTATTTATTCTTGCCCTCTTCAAATCAGTTATTTTTGTATGATGTTATGTCTTGGATTTATACAACTCTCTGTCATCTGCAGCTTCCATTAATGCATTGCTGTTTTCTGTGCCAAGGTCACTAATGCAGATGTGAAATAAAAGACTGATCTTTTTAGAACTTCATTTCTTGCCTTTCACTCTAAGGACTTCCCCTCTGAGGAAATAAGCGCACCCAAATCTTCATGCTGTTGAAGCTGGACTGCTTTTACTACCCAAATTTACTTGGTTAAATTTGGTTTGAGCATATGCGAGCTATAATGCTGAGAACAGTCTAAATCCAGGCCTGGGTAGTCCTGTGTTCTGGCTTCATGCTCTTGTCCTCTGCCAGGCAGAGGAATCAACACTTGTGACCAGGTAGAGAGTCAGTTCAGGGAACTGATTTGGCAAACCCTCCAGATTTTCCTTTGAGGTGGTTTTTAGCTTGTCAGCTTCCTGAACCAGCAACAAAGAAGGACATGAGGAAGCACATCTGGTTGGCACTGATACTGCACTGTACCTTAGGTCAGCTTAAGGTGCTGGAGCTGTATCCTGAGCAGGCATCAAGAATTTGATGGTATCTTTATTTGATGGTAACATCAGGGTCAGGATCTCTGAATGTAGATTCAGGAATCCAAGTGACTTCATAAAAATAAGACTTCTCCAGTGCTGGAAATTTATAGTTTTACTATGCTGTCGAAAACTAGCAGGGTTGATTTTTTTCTGAGAATTTACAATGTATAAAGGAAGGAGAATGTGCATTATTTTTCTCTTTCAGCTGGGAGAGTTAATGGGACTTGGTGTCCTGTCTGCAAACAAGCCAGGGATGGATCAAAGGTAACTGTATCTCGCTAATGGGTTTATACACAACAACATTCTCAGGTCCAGAAAAACTGGTCCATTCCCAACAAAGTCTGCCCTCCCTTCTCTGCGAGTGAAACCAGAGAAAAAAGTGGAGTTCTTTATTCAGTTTGTTTTCCCTGCAGCTCTTACATAGCCACACTTAAATATGTTGTGTGATAGCAATGAGACATAGCTTTGGCTTTTCTAGCTGTGTAGATGACAAATGGAATGACAATTTCAGCAATTAAAACAATTGGTATCTCTGGCAATTTGTAAACACATTAGTACAACAGAAAGCTTTTAAGTCAGGAAAATGCAAAAAAACAAACCAGAAAATAACAAAAAATATATCCCTCTGGATGCTAAGATGTGACTGAGGTGAATTAAAATACCTCTGACAACACTTCAGGGAAATCCTTCTACTTGTAAATAGCATTGCAAGAGAGAAAAGTACTGCAATACATAGGAGCTATTCATCCCGTGTGCCCGTATTGCATTGGTAGCCGCCTGGCTGGACCTAGTTTGTGTTGAGAGGGGAAATAAACAGAACAATAAGAAAGGAAGTGTAATTTAAAAAGTACAAAAAAAATTACCTTGCCAAGATCTATTGATTGGTATTTAACTGCCCGAGCAAGATGATAGCTTTTCATAGCAAAGGGTAGATTGTTCTAGAAGGTGCAGCTGTTTGTTGAAATAAGATGGAATATCTAAAATTGTAATGGGGGGTGGAGGGAGGTGTTTTATTTCTTGAGTGGTTGCATCCTGTATGGAGGCATTTCCTTACTAGACACTTGTAGCCTGAATAAAATTTCCTAAAAAACATTTTCTGAGTTGCCATAATTAATTAACATAATTATTTTACTTATATGCAACATGGGGAAAAAAAGCTCTTTGATAGTATTTTGTACCCACAATGTAGAGTACAGTGTGCTGGAGAACTGAGTTTAAAGCAATGTTATTTAGGCTGTTATTTTCTTCCTGCTTTGTTTCCTATTCTCCCTTATTGTAGTCTGTTAGATATGATATATTGGTGAGCGTTCAGTTAGAGCAGCCTCGTTATACAGAATTGGGAATCGCAATTTCCTGCTCATTCAGCAACAAGTAAACATGACCACAGTTCAGAGTCTGGCCATAAAATTAAGCTACAGTGTTTGTGTCTTTGAAAGATTTCTCCTTTGCTTCTGAAGCACACAGTGTGTCTTAAAATCTTTTAACTTTCTTATGTATTTCTAACATTCATGAGTGCATGTGCCATTTGAAGAGCACCGATTTTTATGCTACGAAACGTGCCCATGTGGAGGAAGGTTACCACATAAGCATCTGTCCTAAGAACTCTATGGAAGTATCAAATCTGAAATTTTAAGAAATGAAGTAAAATATGTCCCACCTGCAAAATGTGTGTTTAGCCTTGTTGGGTTTGGACTGAATAAGGAACATTTAACTTCCAAGAATCTTTGCTGAAAAACCACTGAATTAAGCCTTTTAGCCCGTACCCAGAAAATTAAATCTTGGCACTGGGCAAACTTTTCTTCTGTGTTCGCAAACAATGAATTGAACAAATGGGCATTGCCAAGTGATGTGTTACATGAGGGAGAAAGGGAGGCAAAAGGCAACATAGTGTTTCTCCAACCAATCCCTTCCATACTGAGCACATGGATAGCAGTCTGATTCCTTCTGCTCCTAGTAAGGCTGTGTTTTCACCAGATGGATCGGGCAGTGCTAACCCTCATGAAAAAGGAGAGGTCCTGTTTTTTTCCCTCCGCTTCTGCCTCTCTGTTCCTGACGTCCTGTCTCCTTGCTGCTCCTTGCTCTGGCTGTGTTGTTTAGTGGATCCGCCTGTGAGTCAATTCAAATCCGCAGAAGACTCGGATGCTTCCCTGCTGGCTCGGAGCATTGAATTGGCTCAGGGAAAGGTCTGAGCTGACAGGGCAGAGGAGGCAAGGCTGGTGTGGTCAGCAGCCAGAGATCTGCCTCTTTTGTCAGTAGGGCAACATGGAATAAGGCTTCCTTTGGATACCGTTTCGTATAGTCAGGGCGCCAGGGTCCTTCTCTGGTGGGTACATCCCCTTACCTCTCCTCTGGCTCGGTATGCTGGTGTGTCTCTTGGCTCTCCCCCACCCAGCCAGGTCAAGCTCATCAATGGGAACCCTGCGTGACTCTTCCCTGGGGGTGGAGGCACCTCCTCGGCTGCAGAGCCCAGCTATGTGGGCAGGAGTCAGCTGCCTTTCTCGGAGAGAGTCTGCTCCTGCTTGCCCTGGTGGGAGCTTTCCATAGGAAAGTCAGCCCTCCAGAAAGTGAGGAATAGCACTGCATGATCATCAGGTTGGTTTTGTTGCAGAACCTGAAAATCTGACTTTGTGTGCCTTTCTTTGCCAAAGTTTCTATACTCCAAGGCTACAAGCTGCAACATTAGGCTAGATGGACTGCTCTGCCTCAGCACATTGGCTGTAGTTGGGTTGCCCTGACTTTTTACTCCCCAACAATTACAGATTCTATGTTTTCTCTTTTTTTTAAAAAAAACAACCCAGAAATATTGGTGTAACATACAACATGAATTTAGCCTGTTTAAACTAGCCTGTTGGTACCTACCACTGAGAAACCTTTTTAATTTCCTTTAAACTTCCTTTAAACGCCTTC